CAGATTATCATAAAGGCCAGCAAGGCCTTGGAGTAGTGACGATGATTTTGTAATATGACACTTATTTTAACTATAATTAAAGGGTCAAATGGGAGGTGTTAACTAAAACATGAATTGTGCACATGCCTTATTAATATAACAAAAAAGTTTATTAAGTGATTGGTTGAAACTCATTAACCCATAAAGTTTCAAATAGTATATGAAAAGAAAAAGGGAGAAAGAGAAAGAGAAAGAGGTGAGAATCCACCAATCTACAGTCACCATGTCCATACAGGTAAGAATTCTATCTTAAATATTCAGGTGGTCCTTTTACAAAAATCAAGCCTAGAAATTTCAAACATACTAAGAACACTAACTTTTAAATAAATCCATATAAAATTATTATATAAAATAAATAGAATAGTAATAGATTGCTATGTTTTACTACCATAATATTGCACTTCTGAAACATCAGAAACAGCAATTTGCAAGCTTATTGCCTGAATACTTTTAAAAACCTATTTTAACAATCATTTCATTAAAAAAAAACCACAGAGTGAGCAATGGTGTACTGTGTGACAGAGAATTAATTCACAAAGGAAAACTGGGGATAATTCCACAAATGACACAATTTAATGCCTACAGATATTAAAGTAGTAATGCAATGTTTATGAGTTCTGACAATAGTTAAAACATCATTACTAAATGTTTGTATTAGCTAGAATGTTTTTTCTTTAACATATTTCATGAAGTGTTAATTAAGGCACATTGTAATAATTGAGGCATAATGCATTTTGAGAGGTATTTTATGATACTGTGGCTATCAGACAATCTAAAAATAGGATCCACATCTATATAATGCAAATTTGCAGTATGGACAAAAGTTACATTGAGGCAAATTACATTCAAGCATCTCACTTTAATATTTACATCAAGTGGAGCACTCACTATATCCCATTTCAGATAATAGCAATCTTTGGCATCCTATATTTAAGACAAATTATCTGAAATTTATTTTCTTTGCTCGCTAAAAGGAGAGCAATAACCAAAAACTTTGTAAAAAATAAAAGGGCATCTGTAGTGATAAAAGAATACTGTATATATTTGTCATTCCATCATGTTATTCTATCCCAATAATTATTGGTGGGTAACAAGATGAATAAATATATTAAACTATTACTTCCATGCTACATATACAATATAAAGAATAATTTAATTCATTTACCATCAGGATATTCTTTTAGTACAGAATTGACTATTGACTACAAAGAGTAAGCAAAGCCTTTTTTTTAACCTGGAATACTAAAGCCTGCATTACATCATGGAGGGCCGAACTATCCCTGCCTTTCTGGAGAATTTCATTTATGCCATTTCAGTGACACCTGAGCCTGAACATTGGTAACACAGCAACATTCAATAGCTGCTCTCTACCTAATTCAAAATTCCTAGTATGCTGGCACTGTGTTCAGTAAAATACACAGTGTCTGTAACTACAGTAATAGAATGGGGGAGGATGCAACCCATAATTTTCCACCTGTTCACTCGGAAGCAATTCATCAGGGCAAGATACACATTCTAGGTGAACACTTTTTATGAAGATTTATATGCAACTATGAAACATAACTACAGCTGTGAAAGTGTATTCAGTGTTCAAACAGATAGCATCTGCTTCTTTTTTCCATGAAAATGTAGGGTGGGTGCTTTCCACAGTGTGTGTGAAATGAAGCCCCCACTAAAATGGGGAAGCAACCCTTTCCTTGAAGAACATAGAGTAAATAATTCTAAGACATGGTTACAATAAGCAAGTGAGGGTCACTGCTACCCACATAACATTTCTCATTCAAAACAGGAACCAGCTAGAAGCAAGAAACTTAAAAGAATTCAACATCAAGAAATAGTTTCCTTCACTCTAAGGAATTGACAGTGCGCATTAGAAAATCTGGCACTTATTTCTCCCCTGCTCCTTTTCCTTTCTCCATTTACTTATTTTTCAAACTGCTACAAAGTAGCACAAATTTTACTGAACACAAAAGAAAAAACTTTGCAAATGGAAATGAAGACTACCCTCCATGCTTTCATGGACTGTTTGAACAATTCCATATGGCATTTTATCTTCACTGCAATTTTACCACATGTGTCACTTTGCCCTGGTTTTCCATAGCCAAGAAAATATGGAAACTGTATGGGAAAATCATGTGACACAGTAATCCGCATTGTGTTCATGTTATGGTACCAAAGCATGCAAAACAAAAATAAGTGGTGCCTGGTCCATATTCCTGTCCTCTTCCAGCAGATGAGGTAGTATTGCCCAGCAGAACAGAACACGGTGCCATGATGGAGTTCAGTGTTAGGAGCATTAAGCATTTGAAAGTTGTGGACATTTTAAATGTTTGTTTTAAATGTTTTAAAATTGTTTTTAATTCATGCTGGTTCATCGTTTGGACAAACAGATGTTTAGCACTTCCCAGTCCCATCTCCTCCAATGGGTCATGCTGGTTCATCCTTTGGACAAACGGATGTTTACACTTCCCAGTCCCATCTCCTCCAATGGGTGCCCACTCAGAGACAGCACACAGAGGAAGAGAGGCAAGGAAGCCGGGGTGCTGCCTCTGATGGGCGCCTGCCCGAGGAGGCAGGGCTGGGAATCGTTGAACACCTGGTTCCTCTGACGGATGATTCAGCACAAACTGCCGAACCGGTGATTTCTCCCCATGTTGACCAATGTTTAATTGCTTTTTTTTTAAATATATAGTTTTCTACGGTAATTGAACATATTATTGTATGATTTTAATTATTGTGAGACACCTTGGGTATTAAGGTGGCATATAAATAAATTAATTAAATGAATTAATTTCTTAGATTCCTATACTGTACATTGCTTTCTACTGATACGAAAGGGAAGATGTGGAGCAGCAGCAGCCAGACACTCTTTATACTGTCTTCTAGGTCCTCACTCAGCAAATCTTTAAAACATTAAAACACGCCTGGTGAATCAAATGCTTTTAATATATCTAGGGGACACAGGATGTCTGATGTAAGAAGAAAACAGAACACAGCCTCAGCCTATGAAAATTGCAATGTAGCAGAGAAGCAGAGAAATGCATTCTGGGATTTGGTAAAGAAATACTAATAAAAAAACACAGAAAAATATTCCTGAATCTGAGTGCTTCTTACTATCCATTGGGCAATCTGGTTGTTTTTAATTTGCTTGTTAAGCAGTATTAAATGAGTTTTGAGATTTAGTTCTGAAGTCTTTTTAGAAAAATCTAAAATTTCTATTTCCAGAGAGCATATAACTTTGAAACAAGTGGGATTTGTAACTGTTCAGGGAGATGATGGGATTTTATTTTTCATAAACATAAGTTTTTCACCAATGCATTTGGTTTATTAACGTTATTTGAAGGTACCACCACCAGATGTCAGTCTAGGATATCTGTTTTTGAACAGCAAAAAACATGCTTTAAAAACAGCAATGGACTGCTTAAACAAAGATACTTGCAACAGCCTGCCATTAAATAGTTTTAAAATTAGACTGAATTTTCATTTAATTACCTCTAAAAGTATTTAAATCAGAACCATTTGCTATATATGAAGATCAGTCTGTTTAAGCCATTCCTTCTATAAGGCAAGCTACAAAATTCTATGATGCATATATAAGCTGGCATCACAATGATGAGTTTATCAGAGGATAAATCTTTCTTTAGAAATGTAATATATCCTGTTTTTAGATAACTTGACAATTCGTGATCTTTCATTACATTCTGAATCCTTCCAAATCTGCATTTAATTAAACTAACTCTGTTTACCTATAAGACATCAAAATACTTTTAAAGGAGAAAACAAAGAAAGTAAGAATTGAGGAAACAGTGGTAAAATCATTTCTAAAATGTTACTTTTAATCCTCCAAAATATTTCCAATCAGAGCTGATCTAAAATGGGTATATTTTTTCCTTAGGGTATGCTGCTTCATGTAAAGAGGTGTGATCTGTGATACTAATAGGTGAATTATGTTTAATTTTTCCCTCCCTGTTATGTGAGGCATGCTAGTTATTAAATTTTAAAACTCCACTAAGAGCTAAGGGAATCAAATTAAATGCCAAACTTAAAAATAAAACGTTTACATTGTTATCAAATGCAGTCACGTTGCCTCCAACTCATGACAACCCTATAAATGAGAGCTCTCCAAAATGTTCTGTCCTCAACTGTCCTGCTCAGCTCTTCTAAACAAAAGCCTGTGGGTTCTTTTACAGAGTCAACCCATCTTATATTTGGTCTTTGTCTTTTCCTCCTGCCTTCAATCCTTCCCAGTATTCTTGTTTTCCAGATAATCTTGCATTCTCATGATATGCCCTTCCTTTTTGGAATCCAACTTGAACAACAGGCATTTCTTGCTCCTTTTGTAAGGTAAATCCTTTCCTTTACTTGCACAGGAAATTAAGGCAATTGTTCTATAGTTACTATACTCACTGGTCTCCTTTCTTGAGGATCTGAATGTATGTTGAACATTACCAGTCTAGAATCCATTGTTTATTTTTTTGGCATATTCTTGTTAGAATTTGGGCAGATTGGTCTCTGTGGCTTGAAATAGTTCTATTGGTATTCCATCTACTCCTGGTGATTTATTTCTTCCTATTGCTTTCACAACAACTTTTACTTTACTTTCTAGAAATGCAGGTTCTTCATCATAGGTTTCTTCTTCAAAGGAACCTGTCTGTCAAATTTGTAAACATTTCTAATGTTTGACCTATTCAAAACATAGCAATTAAAATCTCAGTTACATTTTTCTTTTTTGTACTATCATGATAGCTGTCCAATAGCTGTGATGCTATAAGGATCCACAGAAGTAAAGTCTTTTGAGGGAAACATCACATTATTTGGAAGATTCAAGAACTAATTCTAATCTAGGGAATTGCCTTTCTCAATTCAATAATTGTCCAGATATAATGCTGCTTGAAAGACACGTGAATGCAGCAGATTTGCCACATATGTCAAATGCCAGTAACAACAAAGTTATTCCTTACCATTTGTGCAATCACCAATGGAATTTGTTTTGCCGTTCCAGTACCACAGCAACAGTGTTGCATCACGAGATCCTGAGAGAATATAACAATTTCCTCCAATGTAGGACTCAGAGCGGACAAGGCAAGTGACCACATCCCAGTGGCCAAACACAACTTGTATCAGTCTCCCTGAAATAAACAAAACAGCTTTTTTTCAGCACATAGCAGCTATTTGTTTAGACAGTAAATGTTAGGCATTATGGTGCATTTATGTCATATTTATGTATGTACGTAAGAATTTTACATTGTGGCAGACTATCCAGTCTATCTAGGAAGAACTGTCCACCCCAGGACATTAGCTCCCCAAAAGGAAAACTTCCCAAGCCCAGCTGATTCAAAACCTACACCTCAAGATATTGGAGGCTGAATGTGGAATTTCTTGAAGAAAAAACACTAGTTTATAGTGCCAAACTAAAATTACAGTAATATATACCATTTAAAACCAGTCATCTCACTGAACAAGAATGATTCAACAGATTATTGTCAGGTTGACACAGCTGCATTTTTTACTGTCATACACAAATTGCACTGAAACTGCAGTACAACTTTTCAGATTGGGGGAAGGCACCTTAAAATTGTTTATAATAAAGTGGACTGGAAAATTGTAGAAAAAAATGAAGGATTTTGGGAGAAGGAAAAACAATTATTGAAGGAGATTTTATTGCTGTTTCTAGATATTTAGATTCTAGTGGTAAATCTTGGATTCCTTCTAAATTGTTCTTCTCAATTATAGATAAGACTAGTTTACTAGATTCCTGAAAAGAATTTTATCTGGAAACCAGTCATTATACATGTTTCCCAAGAAGATTTAATAATTATTCTTAACTTGATTATCTTCTAATTTCTAAGGAGTGGGGAAATCTTATCCTGGACGCCAGGATAGGTTCTACTTTAAAGTTGGGCCATGGCCCAATTTCATTGACCTTAAAATTTCCCAACATCTCTTGGGCATTTATTCCCTTAATAGTTAATGGAAGTGATGTGAAAGAGAAATTAAATAAGGTTATTGAGAATACTATTAATGAAAATACTTCTCAGAACATTAAAATTAGTACATTATAGGATCCACTAAAATGGTAACTCAAGGAGAATGTATTAGCAAGGCTAAGTGAATTAAAAAATTACCACAAAAATTAGATGTGCCACTGAAATTAAAGATTTAGAAAGTAAACCTAAGAAATTGGGTGACATTAGGATATTAAATGTCCTAAGAGCTAAAAGGGAAGAATTCAAAGCTTTAAAAACCAATAAAATTTCAAGATATTTAATGCACAAATCAGAAACATTTTGAATTTGAGAACAATTCAATGTTGCTGGATAATTATATTTAGAAAAAGAAATTTAGGATCATATTTACAGCCCTTAAAGGTCAAAAGAGAAATTTAGCAGTTATAACTCCTAAAATTTCAAAAAAAAATTGCTAGGGATTATTTTACAAAAGATTATACCTCAATTCCTAATGAAAAAAAAATAGAAATATAGAAAAATTATATAAAAGGTAGAATCTTATACATCTTTTAAAAATTATGGAATACAACAGACTACCTCTTACCTCTTTCTTTTTCAGGCAATTCCATAATGTATTTATGATCACTTTTATGAGATTGGCAGAAGTAAATTATGAAATTGGTTAATAATAAGAAAAAAGCCCACTAATTCAACAATATATAAGGAGTTGAAAGGAGGACTGGTAAAAAATTATGCTAAACATTTATTATAAAGATGGTCAATTTGCACAATTAATTAGAATTATTAAAGAAGGTCCAGACAATGTATGGCTCTCGATAAGAATGCAAAAAAGATTATACCTAGTAACATTGATGTTAGCACTTTTTAAATTTAAGGACATACAATACTAATCCTTTCCTATTAAACACTGTCTAAAATTAATAAATCTGTGGTATATCACACCACTAAAAAAAGTTATATAGGTAAGTAAGCTTTTCCAAAATGTTGACAGGTTGTGGTGTGACAGGAATATATTCATATATACTGCTTTTGCCCATTTGTTTTCTCTTTTTGGACTTCAGCATTTCATGAAATGCTTTATGTAAAAAAAGCCTTTCTAGAACTGCAATCATAGGATTCCTCTTGTAAACAGTATGTCATTGTTTTATCTCTTCCATATAACTCTTCATCATACTGTTTCTATCTCCCAATCTCTATTTTTTTAAAATATATCCTTTTTAAATGTCTCATGATCATGTATATTTACTGTTTGTTTTGTGTTCTTGTAAAATAATTTCTATTAGTTAAAAAAATTGTAGGAAAATACTCTGCAGGACCTGTCTACAAGTCTCCCCCTCAGTCAGAAATATGAACAATACTGTTGATCCAGCAATACTTTGCTCATTTTCAATAAGCATAAGCCTACACACTATCTGTAACCTGTAGTCCACAAAAAAAGTTTATGCTTCTACTATTGTATTTTATTATTGTATTTTAAATGCTGTAAGCCGCCCAGAGACCTTCGGGTAGTGTGGGCGGCATATAAGTTAAATAAATAAATAAATAAATACTAATATGTTAGGTCAATATCCTCTTGTGTCTGTTTGCTTGCACAATGCTCTATTATGCAAGCAGCTGGACAATGAGAAAACTTATGCAATGAGTACTCATATACGAGTAAGTAGAAGCCTCATTCGTATCAATGCACACTGTCAGCTTCCAAAGCAGAGAATGCACAGAACAACACTAGCAGAGTGTAATGATCTATGTGCATGCAAGTGGTTTTCAGTTTTTAAGACTCTTTGGCATTTTTAGTGCATCACTAACACACACTGTCTGTATACTATGTTTATTCAGTGAAAAGGTATAGATATGTGGGGGTTACCATCTAAGAATTTGTTTTCAATCTGTGGTTCAAATTTTAAAAATGTTTAAAAGATTAGCTGGCAGATACCCAAGTGTTAATTTTGTTATTTGTTAGAAGGCATAGGAAACGGCCTTATAGTGGGTAGGATCTTTGGTCCACCTAATTCAGTTCTGCTAGTATTAAGTGGTATTTTCTTCCAAGTCTCTCTGGTGTTCTTTCTTAGCCCTACCTGGAAATACTATAGACAGAACCTGAAGCCTTTTGTAGCAAAGCATGAGCTCCATCACTGAGTTTTGTTTCATCCCCCAACATATACAGATGAAGAAGATTCACGAAGCCCCCTTTGGCCATCAGAATTCCTGCATCCACTACCATGTGCTTTTGCTCATTTGCCTTATGATAATAATGTAAGAGCCATTCAACTTTTTTGCCTTAACAGTAATTTACACCATGAGTTCAATTACCACCATATGCAGTAGGCTATATTTCTGAGACATAACAATTTTTTAAAGATAATGTTTTATTTGACATATATATTACAAATAAATAATAATAATCAGACACATGCATTGGTGGATATTATTTTCAGACAGGTTTTTAAATTCAGCAGTGCAAAGACAGTTTTATTGAGGTTACGCTGTACTACTTATAAGTAGAAGCATAATTTATTATCATGGTATTTCCTGCTACAACCCATTACACCTCTACCCAAAACTAAAAAGAAAAAGGTGCCTTTTGCTTAAGTGCTAAAATATAACCGAGTTCAACATTTGTGATAACTTGCCATTATCTATTACTGATCACATAATCCCCTTCTGTTCATTCACTCTCTCTACAACATAACTCACAGAAAGTATTTCCACGTTTTGGTTGGGGATAATTAAATATAAGACTATAAATGAATATTTCTTGAACATTTCCTAAACAATAAGAAGACAAGATAAGCTGGTTTCAGAACAAACAAGAAGCCTTCCATTATAGTTTTAAATGTTTATCAGTCACCTTAGTCATAACTATATCTCTTATAGCAAGCGCCCCAACCCCCAGTCCACAGCCCTGTGCTGGTCCGTGGCCTGAGCCAGACCGGGCTGCGGAGACAAACCTCCTCCCCACCCCTGCACGCATCCCCCCCCGTAAAGCCCATTTGTGCCTGCGCATGCCTGCACCCATATGAGCATTTCCCCACCCCTTCGCGTACGCGCATGAGTGCCCGCACGCCCACATGTACCACCCTTTGTGCATGAACACAAGCATGCATGTGCCCGCATGAGTACCCCCGCTCCTTTGCTCATGCACATGAGTGCGCTGCACGAGAGAGTGCTTCTTCATGCATGCGCCAAGCGCAGGGGGGCCCTGCCTTCCCCAACCAGTCCGTGGGGCTAAAAAGGTTGGGGACCACTGTCTTATAGTATGTTGATATAGCCAAATTGTAACATAAAGCTACATTTTGCCACATGATGTTTCAGACAGAATGCCTCAGGATCATGCAATTTTTCTAGATGAGCTAAATATATACTTTGGATTTATGCCAATGTAAGCAAAAGGGAAATGCGATCAAGCAGAGGATTCCAGTTTGGAGGAAATGAATGGTGATGATTTCCCTCTTTCCACAGTGCCTGCAGTGATCTGGAAGCACTGCAGGCACTGCAGTGTACCTAATCCCTTGAACTGCCTGGGAGGTAAGACTACATGGGGGGGATGATGTCATATCCTCCACTTTCCACTGTCAAAGAAACTCATGTAAGTGCAAGTCTGGATGTAACTCCCTGGTTTTGGAATCAAAAGTACCATGCACAGAACTCCATCTGTGCAGTGAGACTTCTCAGCCTTCTCTACTACAGCACTCTGATCCACTGAGCAGTATTCTTGATAGTAAGGGGAGTTCTGAATGGTATGGGATATGACACAGAAAAGAACAGTGGGAGGGAAGAATTCATGAAAATGGGAAGAGGAAAACACCAGAGCAGAGCTGAACTCAGTCTGTTATGGATCCAAGCTTGACACTTCAAGGCATCTGTATTCAGAGTGATAAAGTTGGCTGATCATCCATACAAAGCCCTCAGTGTACTAACATTTTACAATAAAATAAAACATAATAACATAAAAAAGAATATGAACCCTGAATTCTGTTTAAAGCATTGCTGCCAAGCTATATTCAATAACCATGGCTCTGCATTCTTTTAAATGAGGGTAATAAAAGAGAAGACAAAGGTGTATGTTGCTATTAAACACACAAACATCTATTATTAATAATTGATTTGTATAGAAAGAACAAAGTGATTTAGTTTTACCTTCCCTTTACCCAGCCCTTTAGTTAGTAGAAAGCACATGTGTCTCAAATAGCACGTTTTGAGAATTATTAAACACATGTTTAAGGTCACATTTAATAGCAACATTTTTATGTCCTAGATTACAATGTACTTTAGCTGAGTCTCACCTCTCTGTTTAAGATATAAGTGTGGACTACACATGCAGTGGAATCTGGAAAGAATGATGGGCTAGAATGGATTGCATTACATTAGTCTAGAGGTAGATGAACCTGGTTGTTTTTTTAACAATTCTATTATTTAAAATATCTCAATGCCATTAAGAAATTAGCACAAGAGGGGCCTGGCTGGGATAGAAATTTTCTCACCAGATCTATAATTAACTAAATTTGCACCCATGGCAAAGTTAGCTGGTTACAGCTAAGAATTGTGCCCCTTCCATCATTTCATTGCAGTTATAGGGGACACTACTGGGAAAGGTTGAAGGCAGCAGGAAAAGAGGAAGGCCAAATATGAGATAGATCAACATCCTAAAGGAAGGCAGAGGCTTAAGTTTGCAAGAGCTAAGTGGGGCTACTGAAGACAGGGAATTGTAGAGATCACTCAGTCTCCATAGGGTCACCATAAGTTGGAGGCAAGTAACAGCAAAAAAGGGGGGGAGGGGACACAGAAGGAGTCTCCCCAAAGAATGTGAGTACCGTACTGTAAGCATGTTTCGGCATCCAGTGGGCTACAGCTGTTCCCTGTCTGCTGATCTTTCTACTGCGCAAGGACCACTGGATTGCTTTTGACACCCATGAATGTAGTTATTTTGGTTAACAAGGTGAAAGCATAAATAATAAGAAACACCAAGAAACAATTGTTGTTATTTTAGACATGAAACCATTACTACAAATTCTGTTTAAAACATAATTTGGCTCACTCTCTTTTATCCTTTCCCAACAGTTAAAGTCCTGCCCCTCCGGGCAGCTGAAATTTGAGTCCCTCCTTGGCACATATTCTTTTTAAGTGTGTTTTTAATGTTTTAGAATGCTGTTTCATTATTATTGTATAATTAACTAATTGCTTTTTAAATAATTACTGTATGTTTATTATTTTTTTAAACTTTATAAAGTATTGTGTTTTTCGTCTGGCTTGTTTTAATCATTAGGAGCTGCCTTGGGTCCTCTGAGTAGCAGAAAAGTGTCCTAGAAATGAAATAACCAAACAAATTATAAATAAAGTCTGTCTAGCCCTGATGCCTTGAATGATCTTATCAAACAATCATTATTTTTCAGGGTTCTTACTCATGTGTAAAACCTACATGCAAGTAGTCCTGTTTCTTTTGCATGCCTGTCAATTTTTTTGGATATAGAAAGCAATGACAGAGAGGGACGGGACAAGCTGCTCCCCTCCCAGGATAATGATAATGAATGTATCAGGGTGGGAGACAGTTGAACAGGGCTGTAGAAATGTGCCCTTTTCCTAATGGTAAGACATGGCTGGGACCACAGATATGTTTCTTTTTCCTGTGCCTTTCACCTTTGTACAACTGAGACAAGTGCTTTGCTTGCCCCAACCTTGTGAGAGCTGTAGTTCTCACAGAATTGTGAGGTTCTGGTCTTTTGGATTTTGAACGAAATAAGAAATATAGTATTTCCTGGCTGCAGTCCAGGACAGTATAGACAAGACTCGTTGATAAATACAATAATGCTGGGGGAAGTTGAAGGTAACAGAGAAATAGGAAGCCAAATGTGGGATGGTTTGTCTCAATAAAGGAAGCTGCAGCCTTGAGTTTGCAACAACTGAGCACTGTTGTTAACAACAGAACCTTTTTGGAGATCACGAATTCATAGGGTTGCCCTACGTTGGAGGCAACTTGATGACATGTAAGAACAACAACCAATCCCTTCTTCAAAGTTTAGAAAAGAACTTAGTGTTACACTAAAATAGATGACATACCTGTATCAGTCGAGTACACACGGAAACTTTTGTCCCAAAAACCACAGACAAGGATATATCGGTTATCAGAAGTTATTACAAAACACTGGGAATGGACTTGAATGCTTTGGTCAAGAAGATCTGTTATCTGTCTCCTGTGTATGTTTGTATTGCTGGCTGGTTGAGAAAAGAAAAATACATTAAAAATTTTTTAGCTTATTTGCAAACGAGTATTAAATTATTGCCAAACTAATGCATAAGTAATTAAAACAATTTGTATGTGCTGCTGCTAGTGCTGAGCCCCACAACATCCTTTCAGTTCCTTCTTCCAGTTTTGCTACAATTTGCCCTTTTTATGTGAATAAACAAATTCTGTAAGTCTTGGCCCACAAGGGTTATCTTAACACTCAGTTCAATCAATGGCAAATCAGTATAGCAGTAAATTTCAAAATGCAGCTACTCATTGTCATAAGCCTCACAGTCATGCCCCAAAGAAAGATCCAACAATGCAGGCAGCTATACCAATCCATAGGATATAGGAGTTCCCATCTCCATCAGGAGTATTTTGTAAGACTGATCGGTTTTAATTGCCCATGTAAGATCAAATGAGAGAAAATAAATTAGGGGTAGCTCCCAACAACAACAAAATCGCTCCACTTTTTAAGGGGTTTGCAGTTAAGCTCAGAGAGTATAGGGATGAAGTGTCTGAGAAAGATAATACAGTGGTGCCTTGTAGGACAAAAAACTCGCAAGACAAATGGTTTTGGCAATGGGGTTGATGACTCACAAGACAAATGTTCCTATGGCCGTGCTTCGCAAGACGAATGTTTTCCATTCTTTGTTCCTGCCTCATGTTTGCTGATTTTTAAATGTTTTTCTATGATGTTTAAAAAGTTAAAGTTTTTTGACTGAAATTTTTTAAATCATCTGCACAATATGTATGGCTTTAAAGAGCACTTAATAAACCCTTTGTAAACCAAATTTGACTTTGTTCTGACTTTTTTTGCCCATAGGAACGCATTAATTAGATTTCAATCTATTCCTATGGGAAAACGTGTTTCGCAAGATGAATTTTTCACAAGACACATTAACTGCGGAATGAATTAAATTCATCTTGCGAGGCACCACTGTATGTGCATATGAGTATATTCCTTAAAACCATTGCAATGATACCGAATTGTGGTGTGAATGGAATGCAATGAGCTGTTCTTATAGTAACCCCTCATTTTTATCTAGAGTTAGTAACTTGGTGGTTATAAAACTTGAGTTCTCAACTGTAGTTGGACTACAGTTCCCAGAATTCCCACAGTTCCTAAATGATTAACCAATGGCCACATTGGCTGGAGGCTTCTGAGGTTTGAAATCCAAAAACAATTCGAGACCAAAAATGAACCACCAATGAAAAGCGGGGTTTCTCAGAATATGGCATATTTGCTTCTTAAATTTTCAACAGAAGTCCCCAAGAAAATTATTAAAGTCATTCTGTCTCCCTTCAAGGTAAGCTTTGGAGTAGGATGCCCAGTTCATAATTGCATTGGGGACACTGTTCATCTGTGACCAGAAGAAACTTTCTGTTCTGCTCTGTTCTATGAGCAGCAGCAAAATACAAGTATAGGTGTGACCAGAGGAACAGGTTCACCATGCAGTCCTTAAAACATTTGAATCAATCTAGAAGCCAAAGCATCAGGAAGAGTTCTGGGACAAAATTCCTAGGCAGTACCCAATCTTCATTGTGAGTAACTGGCTGAGATGAAGGTTGGGTAATTTCGGTCTCATAGAAGAGCTACTAAGAACTTATTTAGTTGGGGAAACACTCTCTTCGGTATTACAAATTATAACCATAAAAACTCTTGAGCACTCACAGCTTAACATGTAAAAAGAAATACTACTCTTATGCAAATTATTCTCTTGCTTAGGAACAAAGCGCTACTGGGTTTCTAAAATGTACAGAGAGCTTGTTTTGGTGGCAGCTCTTAAAGATGCTATTGTTGAAGCAGCATGCTCTAGATGAGGATCTGAGAAATTTATTAGGACAGTGACAAAGGTACATAGACCAATGCTCAACGTGTCATAAGAACAAAGGTAGAATTGTTATTTTGGTATATTTCTTGTTAATTTGTATATAAACAGATAACAAGAACTAAACAGCACCTCGATCAAGGTTTTTCTGGATCTGTTTGAGGGATGCAGTTAATCAATAAATATTTAAGCAAAATAGTTTGGTTTCCACCTTCTTCAGTTGCTCTCCTTTTGTGTATGCATATGAATATGTATATGCATAATAAAAACTAGTTAATAATCTCAAGAAGAAATGTTTTAATCTAGTATGGTTATACTGATATGGTTATACATACATGCTGTATGTTATTACTAATATGTCATGTTGTGCAGCTCTATGTGCTCATTGGAAAGCTGCAGCAGTGTTATGGAAAAGCATGCAGGTCAGAAGTACAATGGACAAAACAGGAGCCTTATAATTGATTGTGCAATCTAATTGCACAATGCTGGTTGCATAGGCATTAACATCCAGCACTCTTCTGCTGGTGTAAGTTTACTAATGCCAGAGCATACAGGATTTCAGCTAAATTTTGGAGCATTGCCCTTGGTTTTCAAAAGTAAGACTCATTTTCACATTCAGGAATTACAGAGCTCATAAATAGTTGCATAAAGAAACGGAGGTATGAATTATTTTGAAGAGACTGTAAAACCAAAATATTGTTATTATGTAAATGTTAAATCAGAAAGTAAATACTATGCTTGAAGGCTGTTCCTGTTTGCGAAACACTGGATGAAATCCTACAGTTTAGCAGTATGAGGATGAGATTACACAGCAAGGGAAAAGCAAATTCACTCACAGTGCACTGGGAATTAAAGGATTCCCTAGATTTTCTGGAATTTGAGTCATGGCAACTGGACGTCTTTCTTGTTAGGCTGAAACGTTTCACTACTTCTCCAAGTAGCTTCTTCAGACTCAAGAAGCTACATGGAAGAGCAGCAAAACGTTTCAACTTCCAGATAACCACACCTGGAAGACTGAAAATCTTCACAGATATATTCCCTAGATTTGTTTGGAGGAAGAGAGACGAGAAAATTATCTAAGCACCCTTGTTGCAGCTTTTAAACGTAACTCTCTTGTAGCCCTGCAGCAGGTGCAATTATAGGGGAACAACTTACTAAGCTGTAAACGAGGGTTCGATGGCAATTTCCTCCTCTTGATTCTTTTACTTTTTTAGTCTGTCTAAGTGCCCAATAGAAAAATACTTGCCAATGTCAAGGATAAACTTTTCTCCATTGGTGTAAACAATCACATTGTCTGAAACTATGAATGGTGCAGGAACTCCAAGTTGATTTGCATTTTCTTTTGTGTAAACAAAAAATGTGAGTAAGTCCATCCCAATATCACAGCATTTCTCACATTTATTGTCAATGTAGTCAGACCCTCAATCATGGTGGTAGGTCCAATGAGTCAGTAGGGATTTGGTGAGTCCACTCCTCCATAAGTTCCATTGATTCCATTGACTAAACTAGAGTTAGTTAGCTATGTGCCATCAAATAGGAACCAGTAAGTCAAGGTAAGTAAGTTATTTAAGGAGTTGATAACTCTGGTTTTAGTATCTGGCTGGAGAGCCAGAGGATGGATGTTTGATTCCCCACTATGCCTCCTAGGGGAAAAGCCAATCTGCGTGGCCTGCACAATCCCAGGATGTCCTCAGAAGAAGGAAATGGTAAACCACTTCTGAATATTCTCTATCTGGAAAACCTTGAAAAGGATTGCCGTAAGTCAGAATCAACTTGACAGCACGTAATTATTATTTACCAGTTCCACTCCCCCAGTGAATTTCCATGGCTAAGCAAGGATTCAAACTCTGACCTCCTGGGTCGTAGTCCATCCTTCAGGGTGTCTCCTGGTTGAGCTTTTTGAGGGCAAGCTTAACACTAAAGATAACCCCTCACTCTAACTGACCTTCATGTCTGAAAAAGCAGATTTGGAAACAGAGCTGGTATTCCCATCCAAAAGATCAATCACAAAACAAAGTAAGCTAATATGCTAATATGCTAATATGCCCTCTGTTGGGACAATCAGATGTTTTTGGCATGTAAGGAAATCCTTTTTTAAATGAAAGGCTCTTTGTAATGTATCATTTGGCCCTCGGATGTAAAACTCCACTAGGGTTAAGGTAAGCAAACCACAGTTAAGTGTGCTTTGAGCCTCCTTTTGCCCTCTCTGTGGCTCTTGACGGACATCCGCTGAAACACGCTCCTATTACTTCGCATCACTCCAGAGCCTGCAAAGATATTTTAAATATTTATCACGGTTTTCCAGCAATCAAAAGTGTGGACACTCCGTGATGTTAAGCGTATTTATGATATGAATGTCGTGGGGGAGAAAAAGGAGAAGGGAAGGGCGTGCAGGCCTACCAGAGAAACTAGGGACTTCCGTGGAACGTCAAGAAGGAAGTTCGTAATGAATAAGGAACATCTTTCCAAGGACTGTGAATAGGGCCCTTTGTGAGGCTCGCTGAATTTTTGCAACGCCTTTGGCAGCGATTCCACGCGCTGGTTTAGGACAAGCATACAGTTAATCACAGTATGAGGGGATCGATTTCCACTGGCAGCTGGTATGGCTGGTCCTGTACGGCACCTTGATGAGCTAAAAAACGCAAAGATTTTAAAACCATGTTATTTTCAGGCATTAAACCCATGGAAAATCCTATAAATCGAAGAGTGTGTGCTATTCTTTTGCTGGAAAACTGGAAGTTTCTTCCATTTATTGAACACCATGAGGAAAAATAAATCCAGGTGCTCTCATGGGCTGCTTAATACATTTACTTCTGCTATTCTCAGTGTGTACAATCATTGGAGATTCCAGATCTGGGCCATAAGCTATAGCAGATGCTTGACCAGCAGCCTCTCACATTGCAACAAAACAAAATTAAGTGGTAAAGAGCACAGAAAACAAAATGTGACAACCATCTGCTGACTATGGCAAATATTATTTTTCCCGTTAAATTTTTTTAACAATGCAGCACAAAGGATTTATCAAATAGTTTTCTTACTATTTTTATGATAAAAAAGAAAGGAATACTTCTTATACCATTCATCATCTGAAAGTTACATATAATTTTAAAGACAACATCAAGAAACATTTCTGGCCTACAATCTTTTATGTAAATATCTGGATCATTTTTGTTTATGTCAGCTTTCAAGCATCAGTGAACTCTTCTGGAAAGGGAAATCTACATAATAAAGTGTGTAATACCTCAGACTTTTTACATGCAAAGCATACACTTATTTATAAAATCAGCATTGGTGGAATGATTACATAGTTATGGAATTCCTGCTTCATAAAAATCTGAAAAAGTGATTACGCAATATGTGTTCCCAGCTTGAATATAACACAATATTTAGCAAAATGAAATAGGGGCACAATTTTACTTTACTATGTAAACATCCATGTGTGTGTATCCCAATCAACCTTGCATTCTTTAGAACAGTACTTATATAGGATTAAAAAACTTTAGCAGAAATTGTACAGTGAGTATTGAACCTTGATTGACAGCATCTCTCTCCAGTTATCATACAACCAGAACAGACATATAAAAACAGAACAGAGAAGACATCGTATGACAGAAGAGTGAAAAGCCTAGGTCAGTGGTCCCCAACCTTGGGCCTCCAGATGTTCTTGGACTTCAACTCCCAGAAATCCTGGTCAGCAGAAGTGGTGGTGAAGGCTTCTGGAAGTTGCAGAACAAGAACATCTGGAGGCCCAAGGTTGGGGACCACTGGCCTAGGTGATCATGTAGGATTCATGAGGAACAGGCAATAAAGAACAGTGGACATTATCTTGTATCAGAAAAGCCTGTTTGAAGGGAGGTAACACGATATACAGCATACTAGAAAGAAGTAAAGGGAAGAGGACAAAGGGATCTGAGAGTAGAAAAAGCCTGAAGTAGACAGGACTTTGAAGGGAGGAAGAACAGCTGAAGGGAGAGCTACAGCATATGTACACACCACTGTTTACCAAACAGAATCACATACAAGTATTATGCTGGATCTCTCACACATTGACAGCTGTCTAAAATTTCCCTCATCATGTGGAATGGTGAGGACAATTAGCTTGCAAAAGCTGATAAATGCTTACCATAGTAAATTACCAACTGGTATATGGCAATATGTATTCAACTATAATAATATTATCTTCTGGGGGTGGTTCTGAGGCCCAAAGCTACCCAGGCTAGCTGACATCCCCCCCCCCAAAAAAAACCCACCACACTAGAGAATCAAACTCCAAAATAATGAACACTAAATAGGTAGAAATCATCTGGTATATAAAACTGAAATACAATCAGAAATGTATTGAGAAGAAAGACATTTAAAGGACAAACAAGTGAGCAGAGGCCATTCTCTATAGAAAATGTCTCTCTCTCTCTCTCTCTCTCTCTCTCTCTCTCTCACACACACACACACACACACACACACACACACACACACACACACTCAATATACCTTAATGTGCCAATTATCAGAGATGAGACTTTCAGGTTAATATGAATGGGAAAAAACATAAAAGAGGTTCTTGTTTTCATTTTCTTTCAATAATTTGTGGGAAAGAGTTCCTGAAACCCAAATGCTTTGTTTTAATGAAAGAAAGAATCATGGAAGCTTCACATTCTTGTGTGTTTCCTTCTTTCAGCTCCCTTTTCTTCACATTATCTGTCAAATCACCAAGGAAGGGTTTAATTAAATAATGTAATAAGGGCTACTTTCAGTAGCCAATTAGAACATCTCAGAGGGGAAAGGGAAATTTGAGTTATAGAAGAACCTGAATTGGTAGGAACCCAATGAAGAATGCTGTTCGTGCTAGTCTTTGTCAGTGGGATGTGTTCTGCTGAGCTCCATGGCACCCTCTATTTTGATTGTGCTCTCCTTCTGTGCCTATGAATCATTTCTGTTTCTGTTTTTTTTCTGGATTTTTGGGAGACTTTTCCCTCCCACCATTTCTTAAGATAATGTTTGCTCTGCCAGCGGACAGCCTGCCTTTTGTGCCAGCTTGCCTCCTTGGGATTATTTTTTGATTTCTCCCCTCAATTTCTTGGGGATTCCTGTCCTTTCTTTTCATGAACTATTTTTGACTGCTGCTACCTGCTGATAGTGGTATTAATGAAGTGAAAAGAAGACATCAATGATACAGGGGAGAAAAATCTCTTTATATTCTAGTTGTTGTGTTTGTTGACTGTATTATTGCCTTTTTTGCTTCATTGTTTTTCTTGGTTTTTGGGAGAGGAGGTAGTGTAAATGTGTTTCATTCTACATCCCCACCTTCCGCACACACTCCCATTTTAAGGGTCTTTAGGACTTCTGAACAAGTGTAAGACAGAACACAAAAAGGGAAATATGAAATGAAATAATCCAAATGAGACAGTCACTTTCATATTTAATGAAAGAACTGGTGTCCAAAAGATGTGAAAACAAAGGAGGCACCCCCCAAAAGAATGTGAAATAAAACAAACTCAAAAGTTCTCCCTATGCACATCCATACTTACCAGGAAGGCTGTGCCACTTATTCACAGCAAACAGACGGTTGGCAGTGACAGTAATCACAGCAGGATTTGCCAAGCCAGGTTGGGTGTTAGCTGCTACATGTGTGACAGGGGAGTTGGATGGAAATTTTAAGACCATGATGACATCCTGCTGAGCTTGGTCTGTGAACATCAACGGACTCTGCAGAAGGAGATACTGTTGAGTGGGCACAACAAGACCAAACCACATGCGGAAAAGAAGAGGCAAAGAAGATAGGAAGGAAAAGACAGAACAAAAGAAGGAAGACCCAATTAAAACAAGCAAGAACCAAGCTGCAAACAAATTCCAATGCATTTATGACAGGCTCATGGAAACTTTTCAGTGAAACATTTTAATATTCATTTCAGTGAAAACTTTGATATTTGTTGTTAATTGCATGTGGAACAAGATAAAGATCTAAAATCAGTATGTATAGGAACCTTCACTAGCACCAATAATGTTTCCAGTTGCCTGTGTTTTTGCAAATAGTACAGCTTTCAGATTAACAGAAGCAGTGTTTCAAGAAAGGCAGATCACAACACAGAAATAAATAAAATGAAGCATAAAGAATTCCTGCTCCCAGAGAATTTCAAAAGCTGTATTGATGTGCACAGAATAAAACTAGAGATGGCAAACACACACAAAATTAAATAAGCAATATATATTGACTGTAAACATATAAGAATAAATTTAAGGATATCAGGACATGATTTTTCCATATATTTCCATATATATTAGCATATATTTCTGATACAACTAAATTACATTGCAAAAGCTGCTGTTAGGATTCCAAATTGCTCTTCAGTAAATGTCATCCAATCCTCCTTTCCCCATTCAGAATGGAGCACAACCTGCCAATCTCTACAGGTAGAGCCCCCTAAACCTCTGGAGGGCTCAGAAATAAATAGGAGTTTACAAAAACTGCCTCCCACATTCTACCAACAAAATTATTATGTGAGATCAGTTTTGCTCACAAGAAAATAGGATCCAAACCTATACATTTACATGTTAACGAAAAATATTCTAAAAGGTATGTTTCTTTTTTAAAAAATCAATGTATAAAAAGCAACCAGGACTCCAATGGAAGAAAACAGCTGAAGGCATAAGACAAACAGACCAGCACATATAATACCAACACCAGATAATGGGGACATCAGAGCAAACAATTAATTCCACATAGTTCTTAGGTAAAGAAATGTCAAGGGTTGTTTCAATGTTCACACAGTATTATCATTAGATCTTTGAAACTTGCCTCCAAAAGTTTAAGGATCTAAATGCACTAGCATAATGTCATTACCACATTAGCCCTCATATTTTGTGGTGCTTTCTTGATATGAGGGCTATTTTTGTAGTAGTAACATTTTACATAGACTGCTAGTGCAAGTGTTTGGATCCTATTATGTAGTGGTTTTCAGAGAGGTTAAACTGTTTTAGGAAAAAAACAAAACAGTGCAGTATCTTCCAAGACTAACTATTTTTGTTCAGTGCAAGCTTTTGAGGATTGCAATCTGTGAAAGCTCACACCAAAATAAATGTGTTAGTTTTAAAGATACCACAGTACTTCTGTTTTTGGTTTTTGTTGTTTAATGATTACGAGGATCTTGACTGGGCTGCAAGGGAGGATGGCTTTAATGTACAGTACAGTGCTCTAAATAGAAATGATGTTCACGTGGCATTTGACTTGATTGTTTATTAGTATTATTTTGGAATATATCTGAAAACAATATTTCTTAATCATGTATAAGACTGTTAATGGAATCTGATAATAGTTTTCACTGGTAATGGAATCTGATAATAGTTTTCACTGGTAATACTGTAGTTTTCACCTATTTATCATCAGTATTGCAATACATGCACAAACATGTAAATGTGTATATAAAAGTGCACATTTAACATAGTTTGATACAGAACTAATAGAAAATTAAGCAAATTTGCATTTTTATTATTATTGCTTTTTTAAAAAGTTATCAGAAGTACTTTGAAAAGAATATTGCACTAAGAATTCCTATTTACAATCTTTGCATAAAGGTGTAAATAAAAACAACTAATAAGCTAACCAGACACCCTTTTGAGCAAGTGGCTAAAAGCCAATCAATATTATGAGTTAATCCTCCCTGGATGCTCATTCAATTAAAGGTGTCAGTAATGCCTCATCTGATGTGGCCTCAATTAAATCCAGCTATCTGATGGTGTGAAAACACAAGGGGATACAGCAACAGCAGCCAAACCAGACAAATAGGCAGCCTTCATGTGACTGCTAATTACTACACCTGGTGCATATTATGGCTTGTGCACTTAACACAGCCCATGGTGCCTCTAATTTCTTCTCCACACATAACCCAGAAAAAACACAGTGAAACTTTTACTGATTCACCCAATCATTACGGTGGTAAAACGTTTTGTTTTGTGATGGGAAAACCCAATATGTTAATACAGACAGAGAGCCTTCGAGAATACATTTTACTTGTTGTTTGAGAGCCTATGGTGTATGTGTGTGCATTTGTAGTAAGATTATATTGCTCGGAAAAGATTATTCTCTGGTATCTGGAATAAGAAATAACTTTAATCAAGAAATAAAAATCATGAAATGTAAAAATGGATGGACAAAATCCTGTTGCTTAGCATAGTAAACTACAGGAAAGTAGGCCAATTGGATCAACAGAGGTTTGGGGAGTCAACCCTTCCATAAGTTCCACTGATTCAAATGGGCCTACTCTAACTATTACTTACCATGGCAAAGGAAGTTGCAGATAGAATAGGCCCATTTGAATCAATGAAATTTATGGATTTGACTCACAAAATACCCTTACAAAAACCACACACTGGGTATATACCACAACCAAAAGATGACAAGTCACAAATTCCCATCGAAGTCAGTGCATGTGGACTGTACTTAGTGTGTCTAACACCCAGTTTAAGAAGTGAACAATTTTTTTCCAGCAGAGTCAATAGATGCAATTTGAGTGAATGTTATTAGCAAAATTACTACCAAGTAGAAGATGGAGGGAAGAGCTTATGTCTTTAAGAATGATAGAATTACCAGTGGTTGGAATAGATCATGAATGCACTACGTAAGTTCTGCATTTTAGTAGTTTCATTTTGTACATGAGCTCGGTTTTATACTTTATAATGTGCTTATTTAAGGTTACAGGAAAAAGTATATTTATATATATATATATTGTACTGGAAAGAGTGTGTGTGTGTGTGCTCGAGTACAAATTTACAGCTACTGATGCACACAACATTGTCCTGACAACTAACTTACCACCTGCATGGCTGAGCTTCTTGGAGGATGTGGTTCTATGAGCAATTGGGAAGGAGTCTGTCCAAAACTTCGGATCTGAGCTTCAACAGCCTGGAAAAGATATAGGCAGGTTTGCATGTTAAGAGGTGCTAATTACAGGCAAAAGAACTGTAACTGTCACCTGAAAATGTCATTCTACAGTTCTGGGTTTTTTCATCTTGAAAGTCAAACTTATGTGTGCACAGTGGGGCTAAGTGCTTGGCACTTGTAATAAGAATGAGGTAATCTTTTTAGTACTGTAGATGCTATTTCCATGAGAAACTGCAAAACTTCAACTCAGCTCTGTGATATTAAACAGAGACCAGCTATTACAATCAGAAATTCCCTGTATGGGCTCCATTTTTCTTCGCTTCAACTGGCTTATTTTGCTTCTATGATGTGGAGACAGGCAACAAAAGCTAATATTTTACAGGTACTATGAAAAACTCACATGTACCGTATTTTTCGCTCCATAAGACACACCTTTCCATAAGACGCACCGATTTTTTAGGAGAAGAAAACAGGAAAATATAATCTGTTTTCTTCGCTCCATAAGATGCACAGATTTTCCACCCCCCTGTTTTGTGGGAAAAAAGTGAGTCTTATGGTGCAAAAAATACAGTACTTTTAACGTTTCACCCTAGGCATCACTATTATCCCAAAACGGAAGAAGGTAACAAAGCATGTTACCTTTAAAATACATTCCAGCTGGTATCAGTGACATAACTAGTACCAATGGAATGTAGGCATCCTTCAGTCTCGAGAGACTATGGTATCGTGCTCTGTATGGAGGTCTTGGAACAGTGTCTCGTGTGGCTGCGAAGGCCAATTCGAGAGTGACAATCTCTTCCACATTGAAGACAAATACAATCTGTCCCCTGTCCAGCTCCCTGGTTTTCTTTGTTTCGGGACTGCCTCTTTGCCTCGGTCTGCTGTACAAGTGTCTCTTCAAATTGGGAGAGGCCATGATGCACCGCCTGCCTCCAGGCTGAACGCTCAGACGTCAAGGTTTCCCATCTGTTGAGGTCCATTCCTAAGGCCTTCAGATCCCGCTTGCAGATGTCCTTGTAACACAGCTGTGGTCTCCCTCGGGGGCGGCTTCCCTGCACTAATTCTCCATACAGGAGATCTTTTGGAATTCGACCATCAGCCATTCTCACAACGTGCCCAATGGAATACAGTTCAAATATAAGGGGGAAAATAATTTCATCACCTACTATGACTGAAAAAGTCTTGATTAGATTGAAAACTCTATTTGGATATAACAGTGTAAGCAAGGGCTATACAAGGGTTCTTGAGATTGGTTCAAGATCTGAGTCTATTATTTGGATTGAAACTTAATTCAGGGCTGATTCAGACCTGATCTGATCCAGTATAGTCCCAAATCCAAATCCAAACATCCAAATCTTCGTTCCTTCATTGGCTGGAATCCTGTTCTTTAATATAGTAAATCAGAACTGGCAGTTGAATCAATGAACTTACAGAGGAACCAACTTACCAGATTCCCACTGATTCAATACACATATTCTAGTAGTCATAACTTCCTTTGCAACCCATAGAGCTAGCGTTTGTCTGCAGACAATCCTCCATGGTCATGTAGCCAGCTTGATTAGATATGGAACGCCGTTTACCTTCCCTCCGAGGTGGTACCTATCTATCTACTCACATTTTTGCATGCTTTCGAACTGCTAGGTTGAGCATGGATTCGATCTTACGACTGCAGGTCTTCTGTCCTTGCAGCACAGAGGCTTCAGCGGTTTAACCCGCAGCGCCACCACATCCCTTTATAGTTCTAGTGTATGGTGCCCTTCAAATGTGCCAGGGCCAGTCAGGGTGCCACATGGCCCCTGTTGAGAATGATTGCTCTAAAGAGCCAGCACCAACATTTGTAAAGGAAAGGTACAAGGGAATAAGGAAATTGCCAATGTCTAATATTATTACTCTCAAAACAACACAGGAAACAACACACAGACTTACTCAAATAAACAAGTACAAAGAATAAGGATGGAACTTGACTGAGAAAGAATTAGGAAAGGAGGACTGGAGGTTAAATCCAGGTGCCTTCATTGAGCAGGGGGTTGGACTCAATGGCCTTATAGGTCCCTTTCAACTTATTTATTCTATGATTCTACGAATACTGATACAATGAAAATAGAAGAAACAAATGCTATAGTAAACAGAACCATCACCAAATTCCAACAAACTTCTTTTAAATAAATATTCTTGCCCAGTCCAGAGTGGAAGCTTCGGTAGGGGGGAAAGGGCCACTACCTAATGAATCCATATACTGTACAATAAATAATTTAGTGTTGGGTCTCTTCTTTGTGGAAAGATGACACAGAAATTAAAGTACAAAAAACAAAGTACAGTAACAAGAAAGATTAAAAAAAAAAAAGGTCTGGGCTAAACTATTCAACTTGCCAAAACAAAAGATTTCAAAGTAAAGAGGCAGAGACCTAATCAGAACAAATATCAATCTGCAGAACACTCATTTCAGTTTTTTCTTTGGTTTGCTATGAAAGGTAAGAAAATGAAGAGGGGTATGCAAAAAGTGAATATTTAACTTCACCAACACCAAGCCCTATAAATGCAAAGTCTAGGATAGCAAGCTAGAGCTGTCAAAGAGCAAAATTTAGCTCCCCTCCTCCCATCATATCAGCTCACTATTTTCCTTGCATGGTGCTGTTTTGCAACATTTTGGAGAAACACTCTCTGGCTTTTTAAAGTGTCCAGACCAATGGACACATCTGAAGCTATTTGGGTCAATAAGGATCTAATCTGGACCAATCCAAACCACTTTGGATCTGATTTAAATCAGTCTGATTTGGTTTAGAATTCAGTTGTATCTTTCTAATAAAGGCCAATATGTATTTGATAATAAAGAGAAGTATGCTATATAATTAAGCAGAAAATCATCCTGAAATACAATAAAACAATTTTCCCCTTTCTTGTGCCTGCCCTGTTTTGAAACTTTCAGAGTATAAACAGCTGTCTGTGTTTTGTTGCTTGTTTATTTTTGTTTAATTCATCAGATATTTTAAGACAATTGTAATCTATGGTTTTAGATACTTGCAAGTAGTGGCCTGAGATGTGTCTTTTTAAGTAGATTGGCAAGACATAACACTACCGTTAATGCTGGCAATAATATACCCAGAATGCTTGGATGCTAATACCATCAAGTTTGGATGCTAATGCCATCAAGTTGCTTCTGACTTATGACAACCTTGTGAAATAGTGACCTTCAACAGCACTGCTCAGCTACTGCAGACTCAAGACTGTGGCTTCTTTTAGGGTGTCGCTCCATCTCAAATTTGGTCATCCTCTTCCCCTGTTGCCCCCAAATAAGTCATTTTTTGCCTCCAGAGAAAGTTCAGGCTTGATTTGTCTAAGGTCCACTTATTCATATTTCTTGCAGTTCAGGATATCTGGGATATGTCAGATGGAGGAAAGGGCCATCGGGACATGATGTTATAACTGTACTGAAGCTAACTACCCTGTTTCCCCGAAAATAAGACTTAACTTGAAAATATGCCTAATATGATTTTTCAGGATGCTTGTAATATAAGCCCTACCCTCAAAATAAACCCCAGTTAAGTGAAACTCTGCCCTCCACCATTGGGAAGCAACCAGAAGATGACATGACTGTATTTGAATAAATGTAGATTGTTGTACATGAAAAAAAAATAAAACATCCCCTGAAAATAAGCCCTAATGCACTTTTTCGAGCAAAAATTAATATAAGACCCTGTCTTATTTTCGGGGAAACACGGCAGATCAATTTTGATTGCCTTGTGGATAGGACACTATTCAGACATGTTCAAATAGGCAATATCAATGCAGGTAGGGAGCATGGGGCAACACACATGGCCCTCACTGTACTGGGCACAGAGGTCTGAAGGTTTCTGTTCATGTTTACTTTAATAGGAGGAGAATGACTGTAGACCCAACTTCATAAAGTCTTTTTCAGATCTTTCCCTTAAGCACAAGAAGATTAGCACAGGTGGGCACACTTGAGGAAGCATGCAATACATGGCCCTGTGCTCCTTATACTTGTTGATAATCTGGAAAATGTATGCATTGTGCTTTGAATTCCATCACAGAACACATGTGTTGTTGTTTTTTTGGGTTTTTTTGTGTCACAGAACACATGTGTAGGTATAAAAATAAGCACACATTGGGAAGGAAAAAGTAAATACAGTACCTTTTTTTTTTTTTTTTTTTTTTTTGCTTTTGATAGCACCTTGTGCTCTTTGTAACTTGTTCCTGCACCCTAAGCTTCTCTCTTGTTTTGTGCTGTCCTGGAAAGACAATTTGTCTTTACTTTATCATATCAGCTTTTGTCTCGTACAAAACTTCTAACCTCATCATTAAGTAAAAAAGCAACACTATTAACCAGTACCACCTACTTAGAACTAACATTTTATAACTTATTTTTGCTTCAGCTACAATTCATAAAAAACTGCAAGAGTAATTTTGAAAGGTGTGTCTTAAATATTCCTGAAGTAAAAGACCCTTTTTTTAACTAGACTTTGCCAGTAACAAAGCTTTGGTTCTTTCTTTAATTATTTCAGGTGCTTTAAAATGATGCTATAAAACAGAGTGAGCTATGAGGCTCCTCTACAATTCATTGCTATGCATATATAGACATGCACACACGGAGTATACAACATTTGCAACATATTAAACTGAAATACTGTACGTGTCGTGGAGCGACAAATATTGAAGTACTGATCACTTGTGCTGATTGTGTTTCACACAGAAAATAATAAGTTACTAGGATGTACATGTGGAAAGATTTACTTGCTTTCCTCTGCCTTCAGCATTCAGCCTTCCTTGAAGTAATTCTGTTTCTAATATAATTAGTAGTTCCATTGTCTAAACAATCCCGAACCTTTTTCACCCTGCGGACCGGCTGAGGAAGGCGGGGCATACCCCGCGCTTGTGCGCATGCACGAACAAGCATGCTTGTGCATGAATGTGCACTAATGTGCATGTGCAAATGGTGGTGCAGTGCTTGTGAGGGTGCGTGCTCATGTGCATGCTCGAACAGCGACACGTCGCTTGTGCAGGTG